ATTTAAGGATTTAGGTCCACATTATTGTCTTATGTAAAAAAAAAATTTAGAACACGGAGGGCACTTGTGCGTCCTCTGTGAATGTCGTTTTATATTTTTGTTTTAAGTTACGCGCGTTCGGGAAAATGAAATCCCCAAATTTTTTAAACCCCCGCCTTCCAAATTGATCCTCACACTAAATGGTTCGGCGACTGCAACTACTTTCAATTGTAGCGCCGATCGACAACTACGACCGTCAATCGAAGCTACCAGTTGAACAACCCCTAATCGACACCTCCACCTTCTCGTCTCTCCTTTTCCACCAGTTTTCTTTTACGCTGTTTTCTTTTACTTTTTCTGTAATTATCTCACATGACAAAAACCCCCACCTGTTTCCAAACCCTTCTTCTCTCTCCAACGACGGACATCATCGGCGACACACCTACGGCCAGTCACCGGAGCTTTGTTTGCATCAGAAAATATATCTACTATTCCAAAAGTCTTTCAATCGTGGATCCTAGTCTCAAGAATAAATGGAAACAATTGATGCACCCGTTCCGGAAGTTCGAACTGAAGGCAAACTTGTTGTTGCGGAGGAATTAGGGCAAAATGTTGATCAGATCATCGTGAAGGTTGATGAGGTACGCTTTTTGTTGCTGAATCTTCCGATTGTATAATTTTCCCAGTTTATATACACTCCATCTTCTTAGGTTACATAAGAATGACGTATGGTTGAGTCAAATAAAGATTTCTTTTAACAGCTTCAACAATAATCCAAATAAATTCATCTTTTTACTAAAACGCTTTTTGTTGCTGAACTTTTTTTAAAGCCCTAATTTTTCACATTATTAATGTATTTAATTTTAATGAAGTCATTCATCGTTTCAATGTTGGATTGGGGCCTCACTAGCAAAACATAAAATTGATAGAAGGGAGTCTTTTGACCTTGCAAAAAAGCAATTGAATTTTGATTGTAAGGAATAACAGGTGAATTCTGTTCACTTGAAGCTTGAAGAAGCTAAAGAGGATTTCTTAAAGCAAATAGAGACATAAGAGAAACATGTTGAAATTAAAGATTTGAAATCACCACCTCAAGCTATCTGCACAGAGTCAAAGTCAACCAAGCAGAAAATATCAACTGAAAGTCAACAGAATCAAAATGTTGAAGTATCAGTTGCAGAAAATTTGGAATCTACCGAAAAGCTAAGTGAAGAGAAGGAGGAGTTTAATAGGGAATGGGATGACAGAAGGGCATATTTGGAAGATGAGTACAAAGTGGATAAAGCTATTATTCATCATTTGTATAAGAACCCTTCAATAAGATCAGAGAAGTTAAGATTATTAGATGCTGTTGAAGACCAAGAACATGTTGTTGAAGACCGAGAACAGAATGATTCGTGTGGTTCCAGTAGCAGCAATCAACCGTTTGTAGGTGTAGCACATGACGATACACCCTCAGTTCAGTTGGTTGCTTCTCAACCTCCGGATCCTCCAATGCCAACAATTTTGGTAAGTTAATCACATGATCAACTCTTTCAAATTCAACTTTAGACAGAAGGTTAAAATGGTCATTTTTTTTAAAAAACAAAAACTTTCTTTGGTTATGTCAGAAGAAAACTGGTGTTCAACAAAATTACTAAGTAGGCTTTATGTATCTCCTGCCATATCAAATATAGGACCAATACTTATGTTCAATTGATTAAAACATGGTCATATTTTTTCATGTTTGATTGCACGTGGGTGACCTCAAAAGTGTATTGCTCTCCCTCAATTGTGTTGGCTGCAAGGAGTGCCCATGGTATGAGGGTAATTTTTTATGATCACCGTGAAGAATACGCATATGGCATATGGTTACTGTCGTAATGGAATTGTCGTCAGCTGAGGATTAAACTTATTTCTGTAATTGTTTAAATAATATGAAAAATTGAAAAAATATAAGCACAAAGACATCATATGTAATTTAAAATTTTTAATTTTATTGAGTAGGAAAGTAATTAAAATGGAATTTTGGGGGCTTTTTGGAGGCATTGGTGCCAATATTACATGTTAATCATAAGTGGTGCCATCAGAGCAAAATTTCACAACCCTCAATAAATTAAACACTAAATTTTATTACTAATTTATATTTATTGACTACAAATTAGCACTAAATCAAGATTTTGGCTGTGTATTGGTTCTGGAAATGACACAAATTGGTAATGGATCATATAACATATTACAGGTGACTTGAATAAGGATTTGAACTGTCACTTAATTTTTATAACTTTTACTTCCTTCAATGAATTGGAAAAAATGAGGCTCATATGGCTATAAGAGATTATTTTAAAGGTATTTTGGTAATGTTTTATGCTTTTGTTCATGTTAACAGTATTTGGATTTTAGATTTTAGTTGGAGAGAACATTACAAGCATTATTAGTGTATGTAGTTTTTTTTTTTTTTTTTTTTTTTTTTTTTTTTTTTTTTTTTGAATTTCATCATATGATATTGCTACTCCATGAAAATGCCAGCCATACGAGGGTTACTTCAATTGCAACTGCATCATTGTTCGACTTTCTTGTGGTAAGCTTTCTAATGATTTTGATCTTCTTTTCCAGATAATTTCATAAACTTTTCCATGTGGTTTTGTGAGGTATGTGTGACATCCCCAAATTTCACGGCCAGAAAAGACCGATTTGTTTATGCTTTGTTTTAAAATCAGAGTAATCTTTTAAAGAAAACTGTTGCGGAATTTGTTTCCAGAAAAACATGATAAATACTTTATCCAAGCATCTCTGAAGAGATGTATTTTATTCGTTTTAAAACATTTGGGATGTCCTGGTCAATACAGACACATAAGCATAAACCGAACTTACATTCATCTACACTAATGATATACATCTCTTTAATCTCTCAGTGTAATGTCTTTGTATCGATACCTGTGATACAAAAATATTGAGTGGGTCAGGTTTGGAAAACCTGGTGAGTACATAGGGATTTCAATCCCACAATGTTATATATATATATATATATATATATATATATATATATATATAATTTAGAATTCACACCATATAAAATTTTCTCTTTATATATATATAACCAACTCTTACCCCACCCCGTCAATCCTCTCAACGAGACTAAAAACTAACCTCTCGACCTGATCCATACTCCCGGATCTAAAACTAACCTCTCGACCTGATCCATACTCCTGGATCTAAAAATAACAAATAACTATGTCCTGTCCATACTCTCGGACTAAGGACAACTGACTATGTCTTAATCCATACTCCCGGATTAATGACATATTATATGTCCTGTCCATACTCCCGGACTAAGGACAACTGACTATATCTTAATCCATACTCCCAGATTAATGACAATTAACTAAGTCCACTTCATACTCTCGGACTAGGGATGAATAACTATGTCTAATCCATGCTTCCGGATCAATGACATATTTTAAAGTTCTATTCTCCGTATATATCTCACTCGTACTCATAAAGAGATACTACCCCATAACCATTATAACAAACCTTAGGTTTACTCTTTAACCTAAGTTATCATAAACAATCAAGTATGTTCTTTAACACTTAATTCAGACATCATCAAATAACTCACACAAAACATATATTTAATACATTCAAACAATACTTGTATTACAATCATGTTCATGAAAGGGACTATGCACTCACTCACTTGATAATACGATGATCGGACAGCACTACGGCTCTAAATGTAGGATTCTTCGGTGAAACTGTGATCTCTTCACACACCGGACTTCTCACAGACAGAGTTTCGGCTCGAAACTCTTTTCTTCTCGGGATATTCGGTGCTTCGGGACTCGCTACGGGTCTCGGGATGATACCGGGGCTTCGGGGATATAACTTGCACGTAAATCGAGGCAATATGGAGTGAGAGGAAAGAAATTGAGCAACAAAACTCGGCTGCCCTTCGATTCTATTTATAGGGCTGATTTTTCGATTTTCACATCGTGAACCGCTTGTTCACGTCGTGACCTTTGACGTCATCAGGTACGTAGTCGCAATGTGACTCTGTCAAGCTCTGAAAGGTCAAATCACTGAGTTCACGTCGTGAACCCTGACACAGGGTTGGGGTTCGTGCCCCGAACTTCAGAAATTCATATCTTTCGCATACGAGTTCTGTTTTCGACGTTCTTTATATCCACGCGTAGGTGAGATTATGCTCTACAACTCTCGTTTAGACTCCGTCGGCTAATTTTGACTTTAACTTTTATTATATTATTTTAGTAGGCCGGGACAGGAAAACTTCGTTAGGAATTCACAACTCCTTCATCTGATGTCCGTTTTCGTCTGTCTTTTTACCGTTGGACTACTATCGACGAGATCTTCGATTCTCGTTTAGATTATTTCGGCTAGAAACCACTCGATCTCATATTCGAACTGTGGGCTGCATACCGCTAAGTCGAAACTTCGAAAAATCATAACTTCCTCATATGAAGTCAGATTTAGCCGTTCTTTTTATGCACGCTCTCGGTTTAACGTACTCTACGACTTTCGTTTAGATCACTAAGGCCAAATATCGCTTTATCGTAAATTCACTATTTACGTCGCGCTGTGTCGTGTTGGTTCTGTCGCGAAACTTCGACAGGTCATAACTTCTTCGTTATAACTCGGATTTCGGCATTCTTTATATTTTCGGAATCCTTGTCACGACCACTACAACTTAGTTAAGATTATTCATTCTAAATAATCTTCTATCAAAAAGTCATTTTTGACGCTCATTGTCCTTAAATTGACTAGTCCGGATCTACGGGCGTTACAGTATACTTATTCTAATTGGAGTCTCATTATCTTCAGGTTTATGATTTTGACAAATATATAATATAATATATTTGACTATAATATGTTGAGTTTTCTTTTATTTATAATTACTTGATGTTGTGTAGGTTGAGAAACTTTGTAGAGGATTAAAGGCGATGGAAATTTTGAAAAATGATAGGCTTCAAAGCTATTACAGATCAACCCCTCTTACCTGGAATATTTGAAAGATCTTGAAGAGAATGTGGAAAAGGACTGGAATGGGACTTGGGAGTCTTGCAAGTTCTGCTGTAGTTAATGATGTTTACAATTTCACTGAATTCGATCAACATGTGATGAAAACTTTTAAACATATTTCTTTATTTTAAGACTCATTTCACCATTTTTGTGATTACATACATAATGGCAGGTTGGTGACTCAGCAGGACCTGAATATAAAGCCGTATTACAAGAAGTTAGTCAACTTGTTGAAGAAAAGCTTGCATCAAATAGTAAAGCATTGAAGACCACATTTGGTGCTACTCAGGTAATAGATGTGGGGACAGTGTTTGACTTTATGAAATGTCATGTTTGACTACTAAAATATCCTTTTTCAGCTGAAAATAGATGGCGACTTTTTGTATTTTCTAGCAGAGGCTGCATCCATAGCTGTAAGTATTTTTTTACACATGTCTTCGCTGATGTATATTAACGTGACATATATTTGAATCTTTATAGTTTCAATATGGGAATCCAGATAAACTTTGCACCCCAATGACTGAAGCTAAGAAGGCTGGAGAGGATCTAGTTGTAATTGACTTACAAATCTCTTTGAAAATCTTGTTCTCAAACCTTTTTTATATTAACAAAGAAGCAATCTTTATGCAGAAAGCGTTGCAAAATACATGAAGGAATATTATATAGGAAGTTAAGGAGCAGGTGTTGAATCGTATAACCAAGAAAATCTGAAAAAGACAAACCCAAATGTGTATGAATCTGCTGACTGGTTATGGTGGTTCCAAGTTTGTAGTGAAGATGATGTATAGCTTTTTATAGGTATATAAGCTCACCTTTTTCTCCGTGTTATTAGCTATAAGTCTAGTATTTATCTTATTGGCAGGCTAAACCCTGCAAGAGTTTGTGGGTAAGTGGCATCAGCAGTTCCACTACCAAGGAAGATCTAGAGGAAGAAATTTCCAAATTTGGTAAATTTGAGGATTTCAAATTCCTAAGAGATAAGAACACGGCATACATTGATTATTCCAAACTAGAGGATGCATCCAAGGCTCTTAAAATGATGCATGGCAAGAAAAGAGGGGGATCTGTCATTCGTGTTGACTATCTAAGATCTCAACCCAAAAGAGTAAGCCATCGGTTCAAACTCCTCTAAAGTTAATACTAATAAATATAACTGGAATGTAAGGGTAAAATGGTCATTTAGTTTTGTTGAGATGGTTTATTAAGTCTAGAAAAGAAAAGTATTTTATCTAACACAACACTTTATCCATATAGACTTCATTGCCCATTCAACCATTTCACCCATACAAGACTACATTTCCACGTATAAGTAGCAATCCCCACCCTTTTAACAATATTAAAAAAAATGGAGAACATGAAAGGAGCTTCTGTGGGTGTAAAAAATATATTGCATATTTTATCCTGTTTTGACTATGGCCTCCGTATATGAATGATATAACAGGACCAGGTCCTGATTTCCGTAATGCAAAGGTAGGACATCATTTCAGAAGTATGGGTCCACATGATTCACCATGGTTGGCACCAGATAGTGCTAAAAATTACCCTGATTCTTCATATTATGGTCCCAAAAGGCAACAGGTTATAACCTAGTTCTATTTATGCCCTTTTTGCATTTCCACAGAACTTAGGATATGGTATCATCTTTCTGTTTTCGCATTTTTGTTTATTGCAATTATGGGGTATTTTGGTCTTCTACCAGTAATGGGGATTTTTTTATTATTATTCCAATAATGGGGTATTTTGGTCTTTTAATAAAAAAAGAATGGAATCGAGTACCTTTTTGAAATTGTGAACATGGAATAATATGAAGGGAATTCCGTTGATTTGCAACGAAACACGAAACAGAATGGAATAATTTACATCCTTTGTGGTGTTTTTACAACATAATATATTGGGCATGGAAGGTCGAAAAGGAGATGGAGAGCAACCAATGCCATGCTTTGGTAATAGCATATTTCCAGGTGTAGCGGTGTCAATCGGGTAAATTTTTCGGGTTTCGGGTTTCGGGTCGGATAATTCGGGTAATTCATATTAAAAATTTTACCCGTTACCCTACCCAAACTAAATTCGGGTTTGGGTAATTCGGGTAGTGGGTCGGGTAAGGGTAATTCGGGTATTACTCGATTTTTTTTTTTAATGGGACCTAAAAATAAATTTAATGAAATAAGTATGTCGTTTAACGATTTAATGAGATTTTTTACTCAATAATATTTGAGATATCAAGTATTCGTTTAACGATTTAATCAAATCTAATAAGATGTTAAAAAACAAATACTTAAAAGAAATAATAACAACCAAAGTCAATCATTACTTGATATCAATGTATATGCATATATTTTGCATTTACCAAAAAAACTCACGTCTTAAATCTAGAAAACATAGAAATCCATTACATATTATGAAAATAATAACATTCAAGTTCCAAAAGACATTCATAAATATACTCGTTTCTTGCACCTACTCGTTCTTCTTGCACATTCACTACTTCATCTTGCTCAATTCTATATAAAAAAAATCAAATAACGTTAGTATTAAAAGGAAAATATATTAAATTTACAGTAATTACAATGAACGATAAACAATTACCTCTGTCAATTTGTTGATTTTCTTCCCAATCTTTTTCATAATCGATTGTGTCATTTATGCTACCCTGAATCCAGTCTTGTGTACAAATTAAACTTTCAACAATCTTAGGAGTCAAAGAACTCCTAAACGGATCCAACACCCTCCCACTAGTGCTAAAAACGGATTTCGAAGCCACGGTTGAGACAGGAATGGCAAACACATCTCTTGCCATCATTGATAGAACCGGGAATCTTGGACTATTCACTTTCCACCAATCTAGAATACTAAACATTTCTGAGTCGTCTTCAATACTTTCTTGCAAATACTTTTCTAACTCCCCAATTGATTCAACTATGTTCGTCTTCATCTTTTCTCTTAGTTTATTTCTTAATGGGGGATTAGGTGCCATAAAATCCGGGTTTTGGCGTTTCCCTAGTAACGATGATGAAGTGGTAGACTCGACAATACTTGAAGTAGAACTTGGAGGATGAATTCTAATATAATCATTATATAATTCATACATAGAAGCCATGATATATTTCTTTTTGGCCTCCACCCCCTTTTCTCCATAACGATCCTCAAGTAGTATAATCAAATACTTTACTTTGTTCCTCGGATCAAGAATCAAAGCAAAGTAGAGCAATCAATTCATTTTTTCTATGTCGCCAAAATACTTATCAAACTTTATTTTTATGGCCAATGCAATATCACAAAGACTAGAATCGGAAATAGCATCATCCAAGAGCGTACGAATGGAATATATATATATTTAATGCATGTGTTTGATGTCACATAAAGTGTCCCGGAAATCCTCAAAGTAACATCATGAAAAGGTTTTAAAAAATGACATACATTCCTAACCCTTTCCCAATCGCTTGATGAAGGTATCGACAAACCCGCCTTTTCAATTTCGTATCGAAAATCAAATTCCTCAAGATCATATCTCTCAAAAGTTTTTTCGTAAGCTTGGGCAATTTCCAACATATGGTAATTAGAGTTCCATCTTGTTGGCACATCTCTCTTCAAGTGTTTTGTTATACCGGGATTAGCAACCTTAGCAAACTCGGTAAACTTATGAATTCTAGAAGGCGATTGCCTAATCCATTTAACCGCCCATTGAACTATCTCCACCGCCTTATCAACTTTTTTTATGCCATCTTGCACCACTAAATTTAAAATGTGGGCAATACATCGAATGTGCATCCATTTCCCATTTAGAAGACACTTGTTGGAGTTTTGAAAACTTTTTTTCAAGAAGTCAATTGCCACATCATTCGCACTTGCATTGTCAACAGAAATTGTGAAAACGTTTTCTATTTCCCACTCCGTTAAACATTTCTCAACCATTTTCCCAATATCAACCCCACGGTGACTCTCTTGAGAAGAAAAACACAACACTTTTTTTTTAATTTCCATTCGTTATCAATAAAGTGGGCGGTGAGACACATAGAACATGATTGTTGTTTAGAAGTCCACGTATCGGTGGTCAAACATATTCTACCAACATTTTTTTAATAAAGTCACGAATTTTTTCTTTTTCCTCTACAAACAATTGGTAGACATCCGTTGTGCTTGTACTTCTACATGAAACTTTAAACAATGGTTGATTAACACTATTGTAATACCTAAAGCCCGCACCTTCTACAAAGCTAAAAGGAAGTTCGTCAACTACCAACATGTGGGCTAGAGCTTTCCGACTCTCATTTTGATCAAATTTCCAAGCTGACAATTTGTTTTCATCACCATATTGGAAAGTTAGTTGTTTTTGCCCACCATTAAGTTTAGCCAAGTAAACTTTACATTTATTTAAATGATAACCTAGATTTTTGGTCCCATAACTACCCGATTCACACTTATAATTCCCACCACCACAATGCTTACATTTGCATATTTGAACACCCTTTTCGTTCTTATACCTTTCAAATTCATTCCAAACTTTCGATCTTGGGTTGAATTCTTTAGTTTTTTTCTCTTTTTCTTGTGGAACTTGATCATTGGTTGGGTTGTCAACTTCAATCGTCTCGTCTTCCACTTCAATATAGTCATCCGTTTTTGACATCTAAAACAAGAAAAAAAAAAACAGAAAAACTGTTAAAAAAACATAAAAAACAGGAAAAAAACAGATAAATTGCTGATGTAAAACATATTTCATCAATAATAGGCTAGCAAAATATTTCAATGAAAACAATGAATAGCATATTTCTATGCAAAAAACTGGAAAAAAAAATATGTGCTTTACACAGTTTTTCATTTAAGTCTATGCATTTAGGTAGTAAATTTCATGGCTTAGTTTTATTTGGAAGTTCCAGTTTTACACACATTATCATATTCCTTCTTTACCCCTTCCCCAACATTTTGGTTCCACATCACTATTCTTCTTTTCACATACTATATTTTTGGACGAGGCCTTAATATGTCAATTAATGTTCCATTTTCATTACTTCATCTTGTGGGGCCTAATCTATGTCTCATGATTACTTTTGTTTCCAAATAAGATTTACAAAAATGAAGAACGAAAGCCAAAACAAATGAAGAGTATGAATTTTTCTACAACTAAATAAAAGAAGAGATGAACCCCAACAAAGTTATAACTTTTCTTTTGGGTGAATCTTTTCTAGTTTATGATATATATTATACTAAACATTTGAACAAATTGTAAACTGTAAAATAAATTGTAAACTGTAAAATAAAAGCAAATTGTACACATTTGAACAAATTGGGAAACTAATAGTATTATTTCTTTTGGGTGAATCTTTTCTAGTTTATGAATTCTTTGTCCAGTTATGTATTTGACCTCTTTTAATTGTTTTCCAATGCAACTCGAAATATAATTTCATTTGCTTATTCTTATATTATAAACATAATGTTTTATGAATTACTTCTCATCACCCAACGCAAAGTTCAAAAAAAATTCAGCAATAATTGTGGATCAAGCTCTCAATTCTATAGTAAAACCCACCAATTTATCTACAAAAGAGTATCATCAGATTTGGAAAGCAAATATAACCGAATGAAAGCTAAAACAAATAATATTATTAGTTTCCCAAACACACACAGACATAGGGCCTGTCGCCAGGCCAAGCATAATCAAGATTCAAGATGAATCCCAACAAATTGTAAACTGTAAAATAAAGGGTTAATGTCATAAAAATCCTCAAGTTTTTAGAGTTTTGTCGGTTTTGCCCAAAGTTGAATTTTATGTCCGTTTTTACCCTCACATTTTCCAAAAAATGTTCGGTTTTACCCTTTTACCGGTGATAACAGGTTTTTCAGGTTAACATTATTTTATCTTCGCAAAAAAAACCCTTAAGTTTACAGTATTTTTACGTTTTTACCCTTAATTTTATAATTTTTTTATACTTTTACCCTAAGTATTTTTTTTTATATTATACGTATTCATGCAGAAAAATCGTATTTATATACAAAAAAAGTTTAATTAAATATTGTATTTACATTTTTTAAATGTTATATCTTTATGTGTGTGTGTGTGTATATATATATATATATATATATATATATATATATATATATATATATATATATATATATATATATATAGGGTCTTTTTTCCCTGGATAAACCGTTTAAAATGTAATAAAAAACAAATTAATATGTTTTTAGAACTACAAATACATACTTTTATGTATTTAAAAATATACATATAAATAACAAAACTTGTTCAATCATAAACATGTTTATATATAATATTAAAAAAAATATAAATACAACATTTAATTAAACATTTTTTTCGTATATAAACACGATTTTTTTGCATGAATACGTATATTATGAAAAAAAATACTTAGGGTAAAAGTGTAAAAAAGTTATAAACTTAAGGGTAAAAACATAAAAAACTGTAAATTTAAGGGTTTTTTGCGAAGTTAATATAATGTGAGGGTAAAAACGAACATAAAATCCAACTTTGGGTAAAACCGACAAAACCCTGAAAAATTGAGGGTTTTTATGACATTAGCCCTAAAATAAAAGCAATGCTTTTGCTTTTGCTTTAAATCGACAAGAGCCTCATTCAAAGTTGCACTAGTTTTCTAATTTTCTATGTCAAAAAGAGAATCAATTGGTTGTTATTACTTACATTTGAGTTTGAAGTTCAAATCCGTGATTTTTTCCTAGAGTCACTGACGAGCTGAAGTGACGGTGCGACGAGCCGATGAACACCTGATGACCGGCGAGGCGGCGACGAGCCGACGACCACCTGATGACCGGCGAGGAGGTGGCGACGAACAGCTGAAGTTGATCGACGATGAGGAACGAAGAGGCAGACAAGGGTTTTTTTTTTATGTAGAGAAAATAGAACGAGGTAAATTGGGTTGTGATTTGGGAATTGAGACGGATAAAAGGGATATTGCCATATTGGGCCATTATTTGTTATATATATTTCGGGTAATTCGGGTATACCCGAAACCCAATACACTTACCCTTTACCCGACCTGAAAAAAATCGGGTTACCCAAATACCCGAAAAAATTAACCCGATATCCGAATTACCCGATACCCGAAAAAATCGGGCGGCTAATTCGGGTAACGGGTATTTTCGACAGGGCTATCCAGGTGGCACCTTCAAATGATAGCATCTGTTCTTCAAATATTGACATAAGGCATGTACATATCAACAAATGACACATTTTAATCATTAATATAAAATCCAAGTTTCATGATTTTTTTTATTTTAATTAACATGTATCATTTGGATCTATGCAAAAATGTATTTTGAGAAGATGTGTATCCGGTTGTTGATGCAACAAATGTTTACTATGGGAGCAAAAACATTGCTGGTATGAACTATGAAAATTACTATTTATATGTAAATTTCAGGGTTAATTTATTTTTGGTGAATTTTCATGAAATATGTAGTATCAACATTAGGCACACATTAGATTTTTGAACTTTTCTATATTAGAGCATATAATTAATATAATCTAACACACATTTGTCATCAGGTCTTGCGGATGAAATATTTAATCAAAAAATGCCCAGCATCTCACATGCATATATTGGTGATGCATGTAGTGACTGAGAAGAAGTAAATGTATATGGTGATGTTGGTGTTTAATAATCTGTTAATGAGATGAGAGGGAAAGGGAGAAGTAAGACTAATCTCACTATTGATTATTGGCATTGCAGGAAATTTCAAAGTTGAGGTACGCTTTGTGTCCACGGGTGATGAAAGAAAGAAAATTCTGGAGGATATATTTTCTCCTAGTAATACTCATTTAACTCCGTAAGTTACTTTCCATTACCATCCAGTCCAAAAACAGTCTATATTGGGTGAGAAAATGGTTGTTAGTTAGCTGAGTTTGGATGCCATACCAGCCAATTTTTTAAAAACCGGTTTGAACCAGCCGATCGAATCGGTTGGACTGGGAACCGGAAGGAGCGGTTCAACTATCACCGGTTTTACATTGATTTCTGAACCGGATTGAACCGGCCGGTTTTTAGAAAAACCCGGTTGAACCGGTCAAAATAAACCGGTTAAACCGAATAAAAACACATGAAAAAAAACCATTTACATAATAAACTTTTGGTGATTTTTTTTCCAAATCTATTTAGTTTTCTCTAAATAAAAACATATGGTAAATGTTATAAAGTTTTTTGATGTGGTTGTATTCATTTAAATTATATTTGGTTTCGATATTATATTTTATTTTCTTTTTTTGCGTATATGGATTGATGTAAAACTCTAAACTTATGGTTATGTGTTATTTTAATGTATTTGGATTCATTTACAACTTATTTTTATGTGTATTTTTAATATTTGAACTCGTAAATATCAAATTCATAATTTATATATGTATGTATGTGTAGGAAAATAGAAAAAACATGAAAAATATAGAAACTTGTTCACTCGGCGGTCGAACCGATTGAACCGGGAACCGGTCACCATACCGGTTCAACTAAAAAACCGGTTTTTAAAACATTGATACCAGCTCTATCATATCATCTTGTATTGTATTGCATGTTAAGTTACCGATTTGCCATGCGCAGGTTCTGACAGCTCTAGCAACCTCCTTCCATGCCCCGAAGCCTCTCAAAGATCCTGCATCAGGTTATTCTTTTAGAAAGGAAATTGTCAAAGGAGATTGTCAAAGGAGAATTTAGTCATGGGTTTCTTTTAATGTTGTACATGTTTTGTTTTCTACAATAAATATTATGCAATATTAACAATGTGTTACATTTACTTACTATTGGAATGATTATTTGTATTTGACATATTAGTGCAATGAGTTATCTTTATTGTTTATGGTATTTTATTTTGTATTATGAGACTTTTAGGGGTCGTTTGTTTCGTTTGATTCCCAAGGAATTGAAAGGAATTGGAAACTAAAATCC